CCGTGGACGAAACTTCCCAAGGGAGGTCTCTAACAGGTGTCGACGCATTTATGAGAATTCCCACAGTTCATTGCCATTTTCTCATGAGGATCCCACCAGCTAGGAGAACACTTCGTGTGCCGATTTTAAAAGCGGAGTCGCAGTAAAAAGGAAAATCAGTATCGAAGAGCAATGTAATCCATTAAAACAGCGAAATATGAAACTACTTCTATCACGGATCTCGTAAGATCGAGCGTGTTTGCCGTCGACGCAAAGCGGAAACGTTCCCACACGATAGGGCCCCTCTACCTACCGACACATGTCGCATATGTCGGAACGCCACCTGGTTGCACCAGTTACCTGTATTCCTCATGGTGAAGCAGCCCCTGAGTCCACTAGGTGGTTCCTATTTGCATTTTAATTAATAATCCTCGAGGACGTATATTGAAGGGTGCATCGGATCCGGATGCGAGCGGTGACGGTCATTCATGGAAAGGGGGTCCAATTAACCACATTACGAGTGTATAATTCAAATATTTATTCAACGGCTAACGACCACACGTGAGATCCTGAGAACCATCGGTTTTTAGAAAGAAAATCCGGAAACTAAGAACTAGTCCCCATGTTCGATACATCTGCATCTTGACCATGCGAAGGAGCGCGTCTTCGGTGCATACCCCGGGAAAGCTGCATACTAAAGACATTAAGGACGTTTAACATAATCCTTCAATTCAGCGAGAATGGTCCGCCACCCCAGCTGCTGGTAACTAGTTCCTCCAGCTGAGAGCTGACCCACTATCGCGAAAGAAAAGCCAGAGCATGAGGGCTCATCGCCGCCATTGTTGGTGGAGGTGAAGAACGGTCGTTACTAGTGACGTGAATTAACATTCTGCGGACTTCCGGCACCATCTATAGACGATCGGAACGTAATTGCGTCAACTGTAGGATCGTTCGATAATTTCCATTATCCAGCATCTTAAACATGGCCTACGTTAATTTTCTCCCGGCTGTCCACGACTATCGGCATGTGTTCAGATTGTGACGTCATCGGATGTCACCTGGCATGACGTCGAGCCAGGGGGGGCCGAAATTTCGAGGGGGGCCATGGGGCTCTTGGGTGAAGGGGGGAGAAATCCTCGCAAAGAAGGTCGCGCGACGCACACGAGGGGCCCACACGTGGGAAAACGGCACGCGTCTTGGGGCCCCCAACCTTGGCAACCCCAAGCATTCTTCTGACCCCAGTTTCATGAGAAATTCCCCAGCATCCTTGCATCCGAGTCTTTTAAGAGCAGGGGGGCCGTGCAGGGTGCCCAAAACCCGTGACCGGTGTGCATGGCGACATTGACTTCGGGCTTGATCGATAAATCTGGAGGAAAGGGGGAGGGGGGCAGGTGAGGCTTGGCACGCGCCACGATTCTTCTAAGAGACGCGAAGTTACCCCCGATGATCGTAAGGGGGGACCCTTGCGAATAGCCCTCGCATTGTTAAGGACCCCCGTGTAATTTCAGGGGGTGATCTAGAACAGCTGTGCGATTCTGCAAATCGACGATCTTTACGGCTATGGTCTTGAATTCGTATGTAAAGGTAGATCCTGACCTGGGAAATATCATGCTCATGTCCTTGCAGATTGTACCGGGTTCATAAAAAAATTTGTTTGCACGGTAATTTGTTAAACAAAAAAATGTTGGATGGATTTATTTCAGAGGGGGGGAGTTATCATTGAATACGGAGTGTTTTAGATCTGAGACGAAGTGAAGCGCAAAGGTTTCGACCCGTTCCTTTCGGAGCGGTAGGTTCGCAGGCTAGAAGGGTCCGATGGGACCCAATGGGGCCCATTGGGCCCGCCGAGGGTCCACGGCATCCGACATCGGAAGCGGGCCACGGGAGCCGAGCACTCCCGAAGAGCTTGCCGAAGATGGCCGAGACGATGGTGGGAAACCGTAGCGCCGAGCGTTCTCACCAGCCGAGACCGCGCCACGCGACGCCACGCGACGCGTGTGTCGTCTCGCCGTGTCGCGAGATGACCAAGTGGTCGCTCTTCGGCGACCTGTTCGCGACTTGCCAGGTCATCTCCTCGCGACGACCTCGACCAAGTTCCAAGACACTCTTGCGAGGGGTCGAACGACTGTCGTGGGATCAAAAGAAACCCGAGGTGTCCTAGGTCATGGTCCCCCTCCGACCGGAGACGGAGCCCCATAAAACCCACTTAGCGCCGAAACTCGGTACCAGGATGGTGCACCATGGTTTCCAACGAGAGATTTACATAAACTAAATCTTTAACACGCCACTGATGCGCGTAAAATGCGATCGCTGTAGACTAAGCTCGGGAATTCGTTTTTTGGCGGACATTTCAAGTGGAGACTTCAACGCCGCGGTTTTGGGTCGCGCATGTTTTTGGCCAGTTCATGGAATATCTGCATCTCTGCAGTCTTGCCATGGGGAACCTGGATGTTGGGTTCGACGGTCGGATATTTTTCAGGCGATAAGGGTTCGCATTTTGTGTGAGGAAAGCGGTTTTCTTTGGACGGCTCGAGGATTAGTCGTGGGTGCTCCTCGTGGCGGCCTCGACCACTTTGCGCTCCCGTAGTGGTCGGGTCATAACGGATGCACGAGACCAGCTCGTTTTCTTTTCTTTTCCTACGTGCACGCCATTACGGCCTAGCCGTCCAAGTCCCGGACTAAGGGAAACGGCGAAGGGTAGACGCGAATTGCAGAAACGTGGGAACCACCGGCAGGTGATCCCCCGTGAAACGCACTAGCTGACGATCATCGGAACCATCCGGAAAGGATACGTCGTGAGCCGTCGATGCAAACTATTGAAACGAAGGAGAAAGGAAAAAAAAGACTTTCTCCATTCATGTACTCTGAGAAAAAAAAAATGTACAAAGGTGGGAAAAAAATTATTTGCGACATCGTTTGGCGAACTAATCATCATCACTAGAGCGGTGATGTTCCGTGTTCGCACTTGGGCACGGAAGGTCGCCGAGAACGCCAGGGGCGACGTCGTTTAGGTTAATTATACGTGAGAAATTGAGTGCGACCCGGAAGCGAGCGTGGAAAAAGAAACAAGACGCCTGGGACAGCCTCTGAACTTCCTTCCTAAGGCTCCCACGCCTGGACCTTCGGGAAGGGATGCTGGGCGCTGCAGGTGCAGGAGATGAGATCGAAGCCATTGGAGCAAACCAGCGCAAAAAAAGCGTCGAAACCGACTGCGTGGGCGTAGAAAATCCGTAATATCTCTACGAACGCGTAGACTCGTCTAATTATAAATATTACACCCTGTAAAAGTGTTGGCGTCCATGACCACCTGGCCTCATGTCGAGTTCCAAACTCAATACCTCAGGATTGCTGCAAAATAGGACTGTTGAGGGTTTTATGTCGGGTTTTTCGGTGCAAGATCTTGATTTGCCGAGTTTGCAGGGGGTCTCGAGTGTACATCTGTTTGGACAAATGCAGCAAGGATTGGTGCCCAAAGGGTGCACACCTTTGCGCGGGTGCCCCGATTTGATCGAGTCGATTGCGTTCTCCCTCTTCAGGGGTAGTTAGGCGAACGTGAAAAGAAAAACGACTGCACCATTCCGTGGAATAAATCAAGGCAGCTTGCCGGGTCTTAGGGTTGTTTCGCACACCAAGGGGGGAGGTTTGGGTCCGCGCGCGGCGAGTCCGCACGGGCCTTCCCTAACCTGAGTTTCCGGGTGCTATAATCGTCCCTCGTAAAAATTTATTCATTTATTGCTGCCGCCATTGCCTCTTAAATGGGCAATAACCGATTTCATCGATGAGATAAATAGCTTCGTCGGTTTATTGCACGCCCGGCGCGCTTGCACTCGCAGACTCGGTGCCGTTTCTAAAGAACTTTATTGCTCTACGTTTTCGCGAGACCTGGCGGCTTAAGCGTGCCGGCCATCGCTGCACGCGTGGTCCGAAAATAAATTACATTTGAACGGCGACGAAATTGACTGCCCCGACAGATCCTAGCCCGTAAATCGGTCCCCTAGAGTCGCCGAAAAATGTGAGGCCCGAGGATATGGATGACCAACTCTCCCAGCCGCGGAGAGGATTTCTCAAAGAAAAGAGGGCAATTGTGACCATCGAGAGCCCTTCCCTTTTCATCTTCCCAGAGATCGAGTTCTCCTCCGGACCCCGTTAAAATTTCGAAGGTCTCGGCTGACGGCCGTCTTAAATTCCCACACAACGCGAGGGGCAATCGGGGTCGGTGTGGCCTAAAGAACACCCTGTCCACGTGTGTGAACGCGGACCCATAAGCGTGTGGGCACGGAGGGCAATGCCTGACCATCGGTGTATGGATCATACGTGATGGAAATATAAAATGCCTACATCGTTACATATTTAAACGTAGTAACATATTTAAACACTGCGCGAGGATTTCATAATTTCCTGAATTTTCGCATTGTTCATCGGGTCAAAACAGACCTGCGGTAGGAAAATGGGGAAATAATAGCACCTCCGTAAATTCGTAAACATAATTAATAGGTAATCGAAAGTGTAGTAGAAAAGTGTTAAAGTATGGAACGGAAAATTGAGGCGGGTATAAATGGAAGCGAAGGTTATTAGGGTTAGTTAAGGTTAGTTATTAAGTTTCCCCATGACCGAGGCCCGATACGACGGGTTGCCCACGAGGACATCGGGCCTCGTCAGACCTCGTGGACGGTCCTGTTACCCCCCGTTAAAATTTCGGAGGTCCCACCAAGAGCCGGCGTGAATTCCCACAGTGTCCCTCACGTCGGTGGGACTGCCTCGGTCCCCACTGTGGGGCCCACGGGCCCCCCACTCCCGGTAGGACCCCACTCCGAAGTGTGGGACTGCATCGGCATGCGGTCTTCGAATTCGAAAACGTCAAACAGTTACCTACGCAGCTCGGACCGGCCTGGTCGTCCGAATTTCGGCAATCTCGACTTTCCGAGCCCCTAACTCGATGACTCGCGTCTCGCTCGCCTAGTCACTGGTGTGTCGTTGCAGTTGACCCCGGTCATTTCCTCGCGGCCTCATTAAAGTGTCAAATGGTCGACTACTACGACCGCAACATGTCGGGCAGTGACGACGAATTCCAGCCCCACGTGCAACCCGGCATGACCAAGGCGGAATTGCGACGGGTAAAGAATATCCTAGAACCTTATCAAATGTCTAACGCATAGTACCCGACCTGCACCTCCTTCCTAAACCGTGTTTAGGAGATATCGATGCCTCGATATCCTCCAATTTATAGATAAATCGGTCCAAAAAGTGAAGTGCCGCCGATAACTTGAATCTCTTTCAGAGCAACAAGCCGATAATGGAAAAGCGACGTCGAGCAAGGATCAACCAATGTCTTGACGAGCTGAAGAGTCTGATTCTTGAGGCGATGAAAAAAGACGTAAGTATCGATCTAGCTGTTCCCAGTTTCGGCGGAATGTAGAGTTCGTTAGGGTCGATATCATTAATTGCGGGTGGGCGTTTCATCGAGAGTTTCATTCTGGGTGCCCAGTAGTGCCTAATGGCGAGTCAGAGGTAGCTGGACTGGGTATTGGGTTTTGTTTTAGCGTTTTAAGTGCCTGGCGTGGGAATGGCTCGCGGTCCGCAGTGGTCCCTTCCAACGTGTGCCCCTGGAGGCCTTCACAATGGCGTCCTCGATACAAAAGGAGTGCCTAAAAAAATGTCGAGTGAACCCATCATAATTACCTCCAAGGCCGTGGAACCCAATGACGCATGGGGAATCCGGGATCCCAAACGGGTTTCTGGAAGAAGTGCGGTTCGATAGTTGCTTTGAAAATTTCCTCGAGGTCCCATTTTTGGCTCTGGACAGTATCCGGAGCCTTTTGAAAATTATCTCTCCGAGTAACGAAATCCCGCGAGATCGATTTCCAAGACCCGCCGCGACGCCAGGCCTTGTTACCCCGGGCCCCTCGCACAGGTGACTTCCTGCTACCTGCTTTGGAGGCCTGAGTGGCCCCTTCACCTCCAGTAACGCCCCCCGCGTCCGTGGGAACCTCCAAAATGATTACTAAAAACTCATCTCGGGTTGCAGCCTCCCGCTGCAGACCGTATCATCTTTAAAGATCCGTCCGATCCTTGAGGAGCCCACAAGGGGTCGTGGGGTGAACCGGGTCTTTCATTTTCTTCTTTTTTTTTTTCGGCGGCAGCAGGTGCCTTTCCGCCCCAGGGGGAAAGCACCCCTGCGGGGGATGAATCCTTGCGGGGTGGGGTCTTCGACATCCTCGTTAAGGTGTTCTCACAGTGTCCTTCCTTTTCAGCCGTCCCGCCACTCGAAGCTGGAGAAGGCCGACATCTTGGAGATGACGGTGAAGCATCTTCAGACGGTCCAACGTCAGCAACTGACTGCAGCAGTGGCCACCGACCCCGCGGTTCTGACCAAATTCCGGACCGGCTTCTCAGAATGCGCAACCGAGGTCTCCCGCTACGTCAGCCACCTCGAAAACGTGGACCCCGCCGTGAAGCAGCGCCTGGTCTCGCACCTGAACAACTGCGTGAGCAACCTTCAGCAAATGGCGCCCTTCTATGGACACTATGTGCCGTATATTCCGGAGCGACTGTTCCCGGAAGTCAAGGTGGGGTTCCAGAGCGAGTACCAGAGCGGTGACGAGAACAACAACGGGAGTGCCAGGATCCAGATCCCCAGCGGGGTGCACCTGATCCCCAGCAGACTTCCCACGGGAGAGCTGGCCCTGCTAGTGCCCCAGTCGGCAGGGATCGCCGCGAACTTCCCGTTTTTTCCTCCAGCCAATGAGGCCTCCTCAAGGGTCGGCCAGTCTTCTGCGTTCACAGCCGTGACCAGATCTCATAGTCCTCTGGTCAGCCCTTCGACGTCCACCTCCAGCATCGGCGAAGACGGACCCCACTCGCCCGGTCATCGCCGGTTCAAGGCTCCCGATGGTTCATCGGGGAATAACTTCTCGTCTCCGGAAATGCAGCTCGCCAAGCAACTGCCACAATCTCCTGCACCTCCAGCTCCGATGGAGCCGAAACTTAGAGGTCTCGACTGCGTCCCTGCTGTGGCGGATGTTGCACCTGTGGGCGACGCGGTTGCGGCGTCCCCGACCCAGGCAACTCTTCACAGTCTGAGGCAACCTCTCACCGTCATCACGGATAAGAGTCAAAACAGGTCCACGATAGTTCCTGCCAAGAAGGAAGGGCTGAAGAGACACAGATCCGATGGCCTCTTGACCATTTCGGAGAAGAGGCTGAGGTTCGAGGCCGTAACCTCGACCACTACCCTGATGCCGCCCAGCAGGTCTTCATTGGCGAATGTCTCCCAGCACAGAGACCAAGACTCTGGGAAGGTCGTCGGTTCAGCTTCCTCGTCCTCGACTTCCTCTGCCTCGGTTTCGTCGACGACAAACGGGAATTGCAAGGGCCCCGAATTTCCATCGTCCACGGGAGTTGGCGACATGTGGAGGCCCTGGTGAAGACCCCAGAAAAAAAACGATGTCTTGCGTTCCTGTTTCTTGTTATTTCTATTGATAAGAGTCATGCTTGAATGACAGTGATCTCCTCCCCGGAGGAAAAGACCCGAGATGGTATTTCTATTGATCTCTATTAAATATATCAGGAGGAAAGGCTAGGTTAGTGGATCCTTGGTGGAGGATCCAGGTATGCCAAAGGTCGATTGGAAAACGCTTTCCTGGTGGACAATTTCTTACGCATTGTAACGTTAGGAGTCCTTGATCCATTGATATTGCTCATCGAGTAGCTTTAAGGCGCTTTGGTTTGATAATGTAAATATACCTGTAAATATACTCCATTTTTAAGTAATTGGAAGTACCCAGTTTCTGTTCATGTTCCCTCGTTACCGGGTAGAGGATATTCGATCCGCGCCTCCATATTTTTTAGTCGTCGCGGGACTCCGGGGTCCCGGGAACGCCAGAAAATGTCGGAGCTTTCCCGGGGAAGATTCAAAGGGGTCTTTTCAAAAGATACGTGCCATTCCGGACACCGTGCCGGGTGGTATGACGCGTAAAACGCTTAGCAGTTTTCGCCGTTGAAAACTCGTCGCGGTGCTTTATCCTTTTAAGAGGCGTTAAACGCGCTCGGGTTCATAAGCACGAGACTCCTCTTCTTCTTTTTCTCGATAAAGGAATAAAAAGAAAGAGCCAACGAGAATTTCAACCACCTGTTACACCGCGAAACCACCCTCGTACTCATCGACCGAGCGCATAACCTGATTTATCGACCGAGTTCGAGAAGTCTACCGAACGACCGCGACTCAGAAGGTTCCGATAAGTCGGCGAGAGTGACTTATCGACAAGGCGCCGATTTTCTTCGCCCTTTTTTACCCACCCTTTACGAAAACCCTTTTACAAACCCTTGCCATTCCCTTACAGACAATAATAACCCTTAAGAAAGCCCAGCATGCGAAAATTCACGTTAACCGATCATCACGAAACTAATGCTTCTGAGAGGAGATAAAACAACTGCCTCCGTGTGCAATTTGTCGATGCAAAAGTAACAAGAATGAGCGATCGCCTTTTTGTGCGACTCCGAGCAGATCTCAAAGTTTAAGTTTTCGCGAAGCGTCGCCATCTGACGGAGGGTCGTCGAAGCGCGTCCACTTTTATAGTTCGCGGGACGGCGACAAGATGGCGACACGAACTCGTGCCACAGGTGGCGGCACAGCCAAGGTTGTAAGGCGCGGTAATAAAACCGGCGATAAGATCTACTCAAGGTGGACTTGATTCTTAGGTGTATAAATGTGCCTTCAAAAGGAAGAAAAAAAGAAACTGTTCCCGTCGGTAGTAGCTTCTCTTACTCGGTAGTGGGTGGTTCCTCCGATGCGCAGTTCCTTATCGAAGTTCCAATTACTTCCATTCGGCACATTCCGACCGTACATGAATTTTCACAGCCCAAGTAACTTGCGCCATTATTATCATTACCAAGGATAATTAATCGGTTCACCTAGTCCGAATAAATTTCATCGGCCATCTCTAGGGTGGGTATCGACCATGTTTCTGCATATTTATTCTGCCTTGCCCTCTTAGGCTCATTAATAATAAATCCACCGCCACCGATCTACCGGCGTAGAGATTTCTGAAATAAAACCCTGTAAGTCGTTACCACTTATAGAGTTCTTTCAACGGCCTCGACGACGCTTGAGTAATTACCATGCCTGTTATATAGGGACGAACGCGCCCTTCAAGGCAGACCTGATCCTCGGTTAACTTCAGCTTAGATGGCTGGACAAATTCCTCCTGATCAGGCTAACGAAGTTCCTCAGTCAGCAGCGACGAGATGCGCGGGTACTTATCGGGAGTCAAGTGCGAGCCCTTTCTTGCGCATCGGGGGTATAAATAATTACCGTGGCGCGCGGCAATTACTATAAGTTATAGCGTAGCCGGTACAATTTGCAATGTCAAGACATAAACACCGCTACCGCTTACATTTGAATACATTAGTCGACGGAGGGCCGCGATTGGCTCTTCGAGACGAGGTGCCATGGGTGCACGCCCGTCCCCGTACGTGAGCTACGACCTGGCTGACGATTTTTATCGCGGAAGCGAGAGAGCCGATACGCGCGAACGCGATCGCCCCCCTAAAGTGGATCCGCGACGTTCGATTGATCTCGAAGGGTTTACGAGTCGCGTCTCCGGAGATACCTAATCTCGAGAAACGAGACTACTTTACGGGGGCCGGATACCGCGGAGAGACGTACGAGGCTCCTCTCCAGGAAACCGGGATCGGCACTGAATAAAGGACGGATGGATCAGCGACTTTGCGGATCCTCAGCACTCCGGAACAGCCGGGGGATTTTTGGCGACGCGATATTTTGACGGGAACTCGTCCGGCCCGCGGCCGCAGGCGCGGGGAGCTCGTGCGGCCGCCAGGCCATTTGCTCTGCGGTCTCTTGATTCCCAGCGACCAAATTTTCATCTGTACTCATTCAAGTTTTAATGTGTTTTTGCGGCATCGGTCATTCAAACTTAATCGGCGACCGGGTCCACGTCCCGTGCGCGCTCATGCGGCCAAATCGGCCGGGAGCGCTCTCCGCGACGGGGCGTATTAATTATAATTCTGGTCGGAGGAGCTGGGAGATGAGTCCGAATGCATCAAGGACATGTCGTCGGTTTACCGACGAATCTCGGTTTCATTCCCGCTCTGGTTTCCGTGAAAACGCGACCTCCCAGGATTTATGATCACCGCTGGACGTCCGGTTCAGCTCCCCAGGGATGAGACTTGACGAAGATGTTCCAAAAAGTGAAGACCAAGAAGAAGGCTCAGCAAGGCCGATTTCCCTCATCATTGATGGTCCAACTGAAGGTCTCTATGGACGGACAAGCCTAGATCGAGGTGCCGTTGACTAAAGTGGAGCTCGAAGGCAAAAGGGAAAACTCGAAGACGCCTGGAAAGCGAAAGTCGTCGCGGGAGGGTGCAACGTGGAAGGAAAGAAGAGGAGCCAAGTTCGCCAATCCGGGCACGCGCGGAGGGGTAGTAGAGGGAGAGGGTGGAGGTGTCGAAGCGCAGCCGAGGGAAAAGAGGGAAAAGAGCGAGTGGGTTGGGAACGGGACCCCAGGAAGAGCGAACGAGTCGACGGGCCGTGCGAGGTCTGCGAGAGGCCAGGAAAGAGCGGGCATGTTTTATTAAGTGGCCGCGCGCTTGGAAAAGCGCCGGGCAATTTTCAGGTGGTAAAGCGACTGCTGATAACGCGGCCAAGCGCGTCCGCGACGGAACTGCGAGGGTTTTTCCAAGCGAGGAAAAAGTTTTTCCCGGCCCCCGACCGCCTTAACCCCTCATGAGTGGAGACTATTCCCGAGCTTGGATTTTCTGGATCAACGCATAATTCAACGCGTTCTCCTTCGCGATACGACACCACCAAGGTGTTCCAATCTCCCCCGCGGCTGTATTCCGCAATCCGGTGGAATGCAGATATTATCGACACTTATCGACAATATTAGCTCATCGGCGTTCTCGGTGGACGCAGAGTCCCGGGATTAAATACCGATGTACGGACAAATGCAAGGGCTCCCGAATACGTAAAAAGGTACAGCAGCCTTGGTCCAGCGTTTAGGGGTCGACTCCATTCAAAAGATTGTGCAATCTTGCAAATGTCACGTCATTGGTCAACATTTGAAAGTCTTACGCGAAGTTGTCAATTACGCATAGGAAAGTTGATCGTATGAACTCCAGAATCGGGCCCCAGATCCCAACGTCGACGGGCTAAGTGTGCAGTCGCGGCAGGGTGGGGAAACCGGAGGACCCATAAAACGAGGCGGGGGCTTTTTTTGCGGAGAATCCTCTGGATGTACCCCGGAAAAGCGCAAAGCGTCCCCCTGGGAATCTGTCTCACGCGTCTCGAGCGCTCCGGCCATCTAGGCTTGCCCGGGCGTGGGCGGCTCGCCGGATGAAAATACCGAAGGACAATGGGAATACTAATGATTGATTGGATACGAAAAAGAATTATAATTGAAAAAAGCACGGAGGGGGAGTTAAAAAAACGAACTATCGGGAATAATATATCAATACCTATCGAAGCCACGCATACAAATGCGGCAGGCCGGGAGGTGGGCGGCGGCGAACGAAAGGCGGGCGGGAGGCCGGCGGGCGGGAATCCGGGGGTGGCGGGTCAGTGCGGCGCCCAGGGTGGGGACAACGTTCGGAAAGAGTAAAAAATATTACGCTCTCGCACTGGCGCCAACCCGCGGATGAAACGGGCACTAACCAATACCAGTAACGGAGCGCACAAAAGAACGGGGGACTCGTGTGCGAAAAACAGACTCGCGCGCGGTAACGGGCTCGTTGCTCGGATGGCGTTATAGCTTTTCGCGGGCGGTGCGGCCCGGGCCGCAGCGGTCCCGCACCCAGGCCGCTCGGCGGTGCCTTGCGAAAGCTGTGCGCGAGCCCCTAGGAGAGTGAGGGTAAGCGCGTTTAGCATTTGAAAAAAGCTCTCGCGGCCGGACCGCCTCCCTCCCCGAATCCATACAGCGGGCCGTGCGCAAACAAAAGGCCGCGTTTAGCATTAAAAAAGCACGCGAACCGCGCGCGCCCTCGCGTCGCGGCCGCCAGAAGTGCCGGACAAACGCATGCGGCATTAAAACAGGTCCGACGCGGTACGCGTTGCGTACCCCGGCCACGTAATCGCCGCGGACGCGCCTAGCCGCCTACGCCTGCTATACACGGGTTTACGAACACACGCGAGCCTCCGCTCCCCTCCCCGCCCCGGCCGCCCCAACACCCATCGATCGTGTTTGGGAACGCACTTCCTCTTTCCTTTTTTTCCCCTGTTTTTTTCGGACCGATTCCGGCGCCCCCCCTTCGGCCTGCAGCCAGCTCGGCCCGCCAATATAGGGAGCCCGGAGTGGGCGGCGGTGGGGTGGCCGGGCGGAATATTTACCGGACCATCGCCCAGGTTCCGGGTCCCCCGGGCACCCCCGGCTCCTGGACGCCGTCTTACGTGACCCTCGGTCGAGGCGTCGAC